CTTCACTGCTGTTGTGAATATTCGTGGCGATAGGTTGTACCACGAGCACATTTCGTGGGACCAGGGAACTGTCTTGGCTCAACTTGGTTTGATGCCGCAGTACCTTCCCTTCCCTTATCCAATCAAAGGCCAAGAAGATGGGGCAGCTTTCGAGTACCGCGTGCCAGTCCTAGGAATTGATACCGCGGAAAAAATGAGGGATCGGAACTCTGTTGTATCAAACGAGATGTTTAACTTCAAGGTGCGGAAAACATGAAGGAGCCATGGCGACATCCTGACGGATAAGATAGTGTTTAAGGTCGTAGCTGCTAGCACTCCAATTCGGTTCTGCAGATAATTGATGCATCATGAGCCTAGGTACCTGTGTCGAGTATTTCTGAAAGCTTGAGAGACGTTAAGTTCTGGTGGTAACCTTGTAGTTTCTAGAAATAATTGTAGATGTTATCATTGATCGTCATTCATTTCGTATCACATGGTATAGATAAAAGAATTACAACCACCAGGGCCCCCTTATGAGACGATGCCCTCGGCAAAACTATTCTCGAGATCGCAATTTGGCCATTGCATCTGGAACTCATCGTCCCACCCAGCAGATCCATCATACATAAAGTCCGATGCGGGAAGTACGTCGACGTCCTTCTTGCCGCCATCCTTTTCGGTGGAGTCGGGCATCTCGATCATGCCGAACCCCATCAGACTTCCACGCACCTCGGCAAGCTGGTCAGAGAGCTGCCTCGCAGCTTTTGACCTCGTGACATAACTCGCTGCCAGTGCCACGGCCAGCTCGTAACTGCGGCCCATAGCCTTGGACAGTCCCGGAGGCAGGCTGGCTAGCAGGGTCGAACGATTTTGCTCTAGGGACGACGTCAAGACGAAACCAAGGGCGGAAGCAGAAGCCAATAGCTCTTGGTAGTAAGGCTGCTGCTTGCGGTAGATGTCTGTGTTGGCATTCAGGGCATAGAGAACGTCGCAGATGTCAAAGAGAACTTCGATTGCGGGCTGGAGGTATTTTTTGCTCGTCTGTGTGTCGGTTCGCGAGAAGAACCATGGCTTGAGGAGGAAACTCCGAACGGTTTCCGCGCGGAGGTGAAGTAGTATGGGGAATGATGAAGGTTGTTTGGGAGGGCTCAGGCTCCATGTCTCAGGGTGTGTGATGGAGTAGTTGCCGACGGCTCTTTTGCGCCATTGCTCCAACTGGAAATTCATGAGCTCAAAGTTATCCTCGTCCTCGTACCGCTGGGCCTTTGTAGCTTGTGCCATAGGCCCTTCCAGCTTATTGCTGACACGGATGAACGACAACATTGCTTGGATGTAGGGATGATCGGCCTTCACGAGTGTTAATGCAGGTCGGAAGTTTGATCAGAACGGTGTAGCTTACCGAGATAAGGTTGACGGGGCTGAAACTAGAGTCGTGAAAGTTGGAAGGCAAGTTGGCTGCTGCACTCCATTGCCGGTCCAGGATGACGATGCTGGAAACAAGGGTGCAAAGTTCTGAGCGCAGACTCGGTGAATTTGCCAGACGGGACCATGCTTCCTCGTTGTGTACTCCAAGCTCCATAAGCATGCGCCCGGCTATGCCACACATACGCCAGGCAACCTGGGGCATATCATTGAAATATTCGTAGCAACCCTGATTAGTTTTGTGAGCGATCGATGGAATCGAAGCGAGAAGTGGTTGAGCCTAACCTTGAGAAGTATGATGATGACTTGCTTTATACTTGTGTTAGATTCGGTAATTCTGCTGTTGACAGCCTCTTTCATACAATCTACGATGAGCGCTTCGACATTGGAGCTTTCGGGCGTCGCTTCAGTGTGGAGTGCAATAGCCAAGGCAAGATTCAATATGATCAAATCTTCCTCGGAAGCCGTGTCCGACTTCTCCGTCACCATTTCCCAATTTGTCGACTCCGTATCTGTACAGAAAGATTGAGCATGGGCAATAGTCTGGTCAATGTCGATAATCGGGTGAAGACCTCCGATAACGTCTTGGTACACGCCAAGCATTTCAACAACTTCGTCGATGTTCATAAGAGACTTAAAGCGCAACAACTTTTGGGAATCGCTTGCCCCGGTTATGAGTGGGTTGAAAGAACTCGTGCTCTGCGTAAGAGACATGGCATCGTCATGGACCGAGACAGTAGGGATAAAGTCGAGACTGATCGGTTCTTCTCGCACTGGTTCGGGAGGCGTGTGGTATAGACTCTCTCGGCGGACGCGGGTTCGCGCAACCTTCATGGTCTCCTCCGGACTCGGCAGGCCGTACAGCTGCCGAGGCGGGGAGCACGTCGACGGCCCGATTGACTCGAGGCAGTTTTCGAGGACTCCAGCGTCGGTTATGAGGGCTGAAAGGAAATCTTCGGGTGTCTGGTTGCCCATTGTGAATGCCGGGGATGGTTGTATGGCGCTCGCCGCCTCGCTGGGAGTCTGCACGCGAGATGCGAGACTGTTCAGTTGGTCTTGGAGACTTGATAAGAGTTTCATAATGTTCTCCTGGTTATTTGACGTCGATGAAGTCTCTCGCCTGGATTGATCGGATTCGGTGGGGGAATCATCGGTAGCCGTCGCTGTCGGGACAGACCACATGCCGTCATCGGAGCCGTAGATGCTGTCGAAGACGCAGGTCTGCTTACGCCCTGCGCAGTACCTGCATGGTTGCCGTCCGTCGCATTTCCCCTTTCGTCGGCGACATGCCTCGCAAGCGCGCAGTGCATACGGCGCTCGTCGTCTTCCCGTTTCTCCGCTCTGTGGGCTTGGTCTCTTTGCGACGCGGTTCTCTTTCGGTTGCGCCATGGTGTCTTTGCTCCGTGGCATCGCAGGGTACTTTGCCCTCAAACGTAATAGAAAGCAGTTGATTCCCTGGTGGGTATTGCGCAAACAAGTGAAACGATGACGTTCAGTATGCAGGCTACACAATGATCAAAAGGATGAAAAAGCGGTTCCTTCTGAAAGAAGTGCCGGAGAGAACCAACACAATCGAATAGGAGAGGGAAAAGATAAGCAGACAGATTGTCAGTCGGCTATGTTCCTCTTGATAGCGGCAAAGCGGGACTTCCTACAACTACGGGTTTAGCCTAGGGTCCCTTACCCGCTAGAAATGTAGAATGCGGGGAAGAGATAACGGGGCTTTGACGATTGGTTAAGATGGGATAATCCCCATGATTCTCTCTCACTAAGTTTTGATCCGTGTCGCCCGGCACTCCTTGCTTCAAGGCTAGTCCTTGAACCATACCGGATCTGTTCAAGAGCTGAACGACTCTGCCACAATTCGTGAGCAAAGCGCCACATCTGAAATCGGTCAATGCTGACTTGTTGGTTCTGACAAAATGCCGCTTCCGGGGTTTCAGTGAGGTGTTTCCGAGTGGTCCCTGCCACGCCTGCTCAGCATCCATCATAACCCCCTGTGGGTAGGAATGATTTTCTTGGGACTACATAAACCATACCGCAGCTTACCGGATGAACACCAATGCCGTTGGTGTTTATAGACTTTGATGACAGAGATATACATAAAGTCAGTAATCTGGATATTGCAACAAGTCTGAGTTCTTCGCTTGTGGTACATGTACCGTTGGGCTATGAATCAGATGGCTCGATCGCTCGCTTTCTGAACCCCCTGATCCGTGGGAAGCGCGGGCGTCTATGAATCATTCCTAACCGTACGCTTCTGGTCGCCCTTTCGCGAGACACAGCTCCATCAGTAAAGTGCGCTTTATCCCAATATGCAGTCTCATCGGCTCTCTTCGTGCTGTCCATCTTGTGCAGATACTTCGGAATTACCAACCCGAAAATGCAACAAGTTTAGCCATTATGACTATTGTCACAATGAGGGAGACCTCGTCTGTGAAGCTGTTAGCGAGGTTAAGCATTTATTGGAGCAGCTGAACGACCCACACCGGCGAAGGCGGGGGGGGGGGGTCATATTTGCTTTTTGAAGATCTGCACTACAATGACGGCAGCAAATTTTCAACCAGCCATTAAGAAACATCGTGACGTTTCTCGTCATTGCCAGGGAGTGTTTCCAACCAATTACACGACGATTAAGGGACCGCCGACGAACACTCCCATCATGCATACGTCGAGAAAATCGTAGCGAGATCTCGTATTCGCAGATGTAGCCATTGGCGACACGCTCAGTAAACCCAAACACATGCCACCAACGGTGTGAAGAGATCTTTCCTTCAAGTGATAATGTCCCTTGATAAGTACCCAAGTACCTACTAATCCTATTCCTTGAACAACCATACGCAGTAAGGTCGTACATGCTGCGAATAGCAGACCGGTGGTGATGTTGTAAATAAGTTCTGCTAATCTTTGGCGACATGAATAAGGTCTCGTTCAAAGCACAGATAGTGGTGCTGTCAAAATAACCCTCTTCCTGTGCGCCAATAAGATCAACCCCCACGTGTCGTGTCGCGTGCGCGCGCTCCTTGGACGCGAGAATCCATTCAGAGTACGAGCTCTTCACTGTGAAAACAGACTGCTAAACGCTCACTGCTGGCTGAGTCGATGATGAGCAGTCGAAGCTTCCATCGGAGTTACGAGATGATCTGAAAGATGTAGGGAAAAACCCGCTATGCCCAAGTTCGCTCACATCGTGCAAGCAGCATATGCTTGCACTCGTTCAGCGCCGTCGGCACCGTAACGAGCTGCTCCGTAATATTTGGAGTCTGGAAGCTGACCCGATTCGTGAACTCGAAGAAGATTCTGCCAAAGGAATATTGGGTCTTATTTGGCACCATCTAATCATTAAGAATGCCTCCCCGATGATGGAGATCATGCCTCTTTGATGAACGCGAAGCGAAGCGACGTTCGAAAGTAAGCACAATCAACTCGATATGCGACTGAAGGCTGCTGGCGGTCTTATATAGCTTTTCAGTCAATGGTGACACGATCCGGCCGTAACTCCCATGCGATGATTTCTCTCGTGGCCGTCAAACAGAACAGCTGAAGTTTTTGAGTAGCACATCGCAGATGCAATATCGAAGGAACTCGAGACAACGGTTGGGCCCAGGCAATTGAAGGACCTTTCCCCGTTATATGCGGACTTGGGTATTAGCTCTAATCTCATTTTCGAAATGATTGAGTTCTGGACTGGTACCAGTCAAGAAATGCATCTGCTAGAAGAAAGAAGCTAAGAAAGTCTTATCTCTCTGTACACTTTCTTTCTATTGGGCCATTACACCTCAAGGCTCAATATTAATACTAACCTGCGCTCCTATTCAAACCACGGTCGCTTCCTCTTGAGTTGGCCCAAGAATTGTTGATGGAGCAGCTTGAGTCGTGTTGGTGTTTTCTGTAACTTGACTACCGAGACCGACCATGCGTAACTGTCGTCTGAAGCTTGATCTCATCGCTTCTTCATGATTTTCCCGCATGTTAGGTGCGACATTGTGTCTCCTGCGGCTGAGAGAGAGCTTCCGAAGCACGGGGATTGACGCGGCCATGATAGTCGCTGCTATCTCAGCACTTTCCCATATAAAAAGACCCCCTAATTTGTCTACAGAGTAGTTAGATTACACGTAAATATATTGAAAATTTAGCGCAGGAAAGGCGGAACTTACTATTATCCAACGGATTGAAGCTGAAAAGGTGGAATATCTTGACAATTCCTGTTGCTCCAGCACTTCGTTCATAATTAGCCATTGGACACAGCCCGCAATAATGACAGAGAAGAAACTAACCCAAATCCCATGCTCATGGCCACACATATACCAATTCTGTCCTTTGTGCTGAGGTGCAGCGGCCATATGATCTTCCATGGCAGTAACGATAGGAGGAAGTCCAAAAAGACTGAATAAGCTGATACATTGAGCTGTGAGTGTGATTCATAGACCCGAAAACTGCGGCATCCTCATGCATACCGGAAGCAAAGACAGCAAAGTTGAGTGCCTGTCTACCTGTCATGCACGGCAAATGAGAACGAGGACCACATGGGTTTTCGAATAAGGGTACCCATGTCGCCACAGTAACGTTCATGGTCACCATGATGAACCACAAAAGCCATCGCAATTTTCCGGTGACGAGCTGCAATAGAGTGAAGATGAAAGATGTCTTGGCAAGCGACCATGCCACATTTGCCATGACCCCAGCTACATGGCTCATGTCCGCGTTCCTCTTAACCAACAGGACGACAGGAACTAGAGATGTGGCATTAAGCACTGCGACTCGAAGGAACAACTGGGTAGCGAACAGCATCTTGGCTTTGAGATTAGTAGACGACGCGTAACAGGGGCTTGAGATGCTTACCCACGCAACAATGATGCAACAATCATCTAACAATAGTCGGTAGGTCATAGAATGTACAATCCGAGTGAATAATCGAAGGCCGAAAATCCCAGTTGCGAGAACGAAAAGTATTGACAGAGATGCAATTTGCCTTTCAACAATTGCGTCTAATGGCGGAGCCATGGATGCCTGCGGCAAATATCAATGAGCGTTATGGAAAGTGATGAGAAGATGACAAGAGAATGATATCCATGTGTCGGCAAATGTGGGAGAGGGTGGAGCTCCGTCGAACTACAGAGGGGAAATCTTGAGATCATACCCCCAATCGAGATCTCCTATAAAGTAACCTGACAAAATTTGTAGAGATAAAGTACCGAGCAAAGATCATTGACAAATTTTTGTTGTTACCACCTATTGAGCATGGTGGGAATATGGCGGCACGTGGGCGGCTAACCCATCCCTGAATACTTGTTTACTTCGTGACTGGTTAATTAGTATGCCCTTGTGCATGTTACCGACTTAATCTAACTGCCAGGCGCACCACTAACGGAGGTATGTGTAAGGTGTGTGCTTCCCTCACAGGGGCTACTGAGACATTGCGACAGTCACATCATCGTTCCGTCAGCGTTTACTTTCACTACCTATGGTGAAAATTCAACGTCAGACCGCACAAATTGGCGGGAGTGACTGATTTATGCTATCGTATGCAATATTGCATGATGATCCTGTGAGAGATCGCGACGATGAATTCACCTATAAGGTCGTGGCAGTGACATTTGGTAGCCTCCTATGGCTTGTGTGGCTTGCCTAGAGTTAGCCATTAGACTATCAAGGTGTTCATCGAAATTCACAATGATTTAAATTGCATAAATATATGACCACCGGGACGTTGAGAAGAAGGGAGGTTTAAGCAGGGACGTATGTCAAACTCATTGAAGGTTTCCCCAGTCGCTATGTAACGTCTGAAGTGGAACACTTCGGGTCCAATACCTTGTGGGTAAGCGTTATGGTTTGGTGTCAATAGAGCATTGTGCCACTAATGGAAGTTGAATACCTGTTGTAGACTTGTTTGATGACATCTCGGAGACATATCTGCTCGAAAGGTTTTCCCACTTCACCACTAGTAGGCTCAAGGGAAAGAATGAAGTATATTTTCTGTACATACATGGTCTCGGAGCTCAAAAACTGCACGTGTACAAAGACGATCTTCGAGCCTGAAGCTTTTTACGTGAGCACCATTTCTCTTCAGCATCTTTGCGTCTAGACGATGGCAATCGCTTTTCGATTCAACAAAATTTCTAGTAGGAGCGGTGCATGTGTTGTAAGAGACAGACGCGCCTTAGACCGGCTGTATCTTGCAACTTTTTAAAACGATTAAGTTCACGGTTCGCAAGACCTGCTTCAAAAGAGTGGGACAGCAAGAATGCACAGCTCAGATCTTCTCATTGACTAGAGGCCATGGATTTAGAATTTCAGTCTCATACCGCTTCAAAGTACCTGTTGAACCAAGATACCGCTTGATAAAACGCTTGTTCTTTCCCGAACCTCTCCTTTTCGTTCTTCGGGTCACCGCGAACGGAAAAGCCATGGTGAACGCCAGAAAACAGGTTGATCTGGTAGTTCTGCTTTGTTCGAGCCAGAATAGCTTCACTTTCATGTCGCTTCTCTGTTGGGAAGATGTCATCGAATTCTGCCGCGGCAATTGACAGCGGTCCGGTGATAGCGGCTAGCTCATCAGCTTCCACAAAGGACGGATGAGCAATGAAGCTACATTGGATCCCGCTCTTGAAATGACGCACGGCGTACTCAAGACGAAATTAGCATACTGCGTGTTTTTCAATTGATATGAAAACGAACCTTTGCCCCGAAACAATACCCTGCCGCTGCAATCCTCTTGATACCAAGGCCTTTTAGGTAGTTGATGCCGGAGACGACTATCGGGTCAATCGTCTCTGAGGTGTGTGGGTTCTTGCCACCAGTGCCCTCCTGTAGCCACTTCATGATGTCAAAATTCTCAGGCATGTTTAACGGTGCTGGATCACCATTGAACAGATCGAGGACGAGGCATGCGTAACCCTCGCGCGCAAACGCATCGGCCATGAGCTTGCTATTTTGCCATATTCCGATGATATCTGGAAGATACAAGACAGCTCGCTGCGAAGCCTCCTTTTCGGCGGGAAGAGCCAAGTATGCCTCAATTTTCCCATCAATCTGGACGGACTTCCCTGCTGGGGTACCCCTAAGTTGAGTAAATCAGCTGGTATTCGAAGATTGTTATTGCTGTGCACCTAGAAAAAGTCTCACTCGTGGAGTGTGCCAACAGTGCAACAAGCACCTGGTGCATTGGATGCCATTTTCTCTGCGATAAGATTCGACAAGATGTTAGTTGTGTTTGAGACAACTCGATGCTTGCTTGCGATTATACAAAGTATTAGGTATTAACAACCAAACGGTCAGACAGAAGTGTGACACTCAAACACCGAGACAAATGCCAATCACGTTGCGATAGTCGACTCCAGGGCAAGCCATATCAAGCGTCGCCAACTGACATCCTAAACGGGCCGACAAAGAGTCGGGGTAGCGGATCCGGTGCGCGAGCACAGATAGGAACCGATGATCTTCGGAGCTTCCGAAGTTTACGGAACCGGGGTGAGACCCACTTTCCGAAGTCAATCCCGGGACCACACACTCCTCGCCGGCAGTCACGATAAAGGAAGAACAGGGACGATTCCCATCGTTCATGACCAAATCAGCTGATTCCTTCGACTCGGCTCCGAAATATACGCCGTCATACTCATTTACCAATCGAAGCCTACTCTCAATCAGTTGATCATGCCTTCTGACCACCTCGACGACGTGCGGCCCATGTTTGAGCTCCGCGGCCGTAACTACATCGTTACGGGCGGAGCTCAAGGCATCGGCTTCGCATGCACGCGCGCCATTTGCGAGATGGGCGGGAATGTAGCAGTGTTTGATATCCAGGATAAGCCCGTTGATGAGTTTACGACACTCTCTGAGAAGTTTGGCACAAAGACCATTTACATCAAGACGGACGTCACGTCACAAGAGAGTATTCAAGCCGCTTTCGACAAAGTGATTGCGGAATTCGGCTCCATCAACGGCTGTGTGCCGGCGGCTGGAATTGCCATAGATAAGCCATTCCTCGATCAAACATGGGCCGAGTTCAACCGCATCCAGGAGATTAACGTGAGTCGTTCCCGTGATGCTACCCAACAGAAGATCATACTCACGAATGATTAGGTTCGTGGAACATTTTTCGTTGCTCAACTTGCGGCCAAGCAAATGTTGAAGCAAGGGTCCGGGGGCAGCATGGTCCTTCTAGCCTCTCAGTCCGCGCACATTGCTCTCCCCGGCTACCGCATGGCGGCATACAACGCCTCAAAGGGTGCTGTCTTCATGCTCTCCAAGGCCCTGGCCGTGGAGCTTGCACCACACAACATCCGCGTGAACACCATCTCTCCCGGTTTCGTCGACTCAGAAATGACAAGAAATGTACGGGCATCAAAGAGTAAGCGTGAGGGAGAGCAGATGTGGCTCGCGCCGCCCAACCAGAGACTGAGCACGCAAAACGACCTTACCGGTGCCGTCGTGTACCTCCTCAGTGATGCTGCGCGGCACACAACGGCGGCGGATATACCTATCACTGGTGGGCTTCATGCGGGTACCATGGATGGTTTGATCAGTTATGACTCTTAATCGGCCCGGGAAATAGATTTTTTTCCATCCTATTCTATTAGCTTGAGGCAATCCTGCATTGCCGCCCGGTATTAGTCCCATCAAGCAGCTCACCGTGCTTTCCAGCTTTGGTGTGTCAAGTGTTTCGTCCGCCGCATGTGCACTGTGCAGCGGAAATGAGATCATATGTGCAACAGAGCTCATGGTCTGGGCGCAGTGTTTCGAGACGAGTCAAAGCTGTTGGCACCACAGAGCCTCGGCTATGATTACATCATTTATCTCGGTTCATCTGATTATAATGTGCGGAGTTCTCGCTTTCGACAGAAAGCCGCTGATGTCGGTGAAAGTTCACTGGCTTGCTCATCCATCAAGTCGAAAGTCCGAAGATCTTCAAGAATGTGTGATATCAAAGAGTTTAGGGTCGACATCGTACGCGAAGAGGTTGAGCGCTTGCGAAGGAAACTCAAGGAGTTTAGCCTCCCGAGTTGTCCTGAGCCATGTGATGCTAACCGGAATTATGGTTCGTTGCTTTGAAGATCATGTTGAGTTACGTGGCTAAATTTACCTAGAAGATGAGCCCTCAACCGCGGCATTTCTCCAAAGTCGTTGGATCAACGACTTTGACTGGTACGAAGCTCAAAGCGGAATGAACGAGGTGCCGCATTACTTGGCAATAATTGAAGACCTTACAATTCACTTTGTCCACGTTCCGTCGCAGAGCTCAGACGCAATTCCCCTGCTCGCCATCCATGGCTGGCCTGGGACGTTCTGGGAGTACAGTCAAGTCTGGCGCCCGTTATCTGATCGCGCCAACCTCGACAATCCATCTTTCCATGTCGTGGTGCCAAGCATGCCAGGTTTCTGTTGGTCCTCTCCCCCAAAGAAGGCTCATTGGAAGGTTAAAGACAGCGCTCGCGTTTTTGACACGCTCATGAAGAGCCTTGGGTACAACGAGTACATGGTCCAGTGTGGCGATTTAGTTCATGCTGTAGGCCGCGAGCTTGGTGCAAAATACACCGACTCCTGCAAGCTTCTGCACTGCAACTATGCCCCCATTCCGATGCCAGATGGAATCCAGCTTTCAGAACACGAGAAGAAGGACTTCCGCAAATATGAGGACTGGGCACAGCGCCATGGGGGATTTGACGTCACCGGCAGTATCCGAGTAAGATCATCCATAAAGTAGTCGACGATAAATGAGATGGAACTAACTGGTTTTATCGCATAGCCTCATACAATCGCCCTAGCATTGCATGATAATCCTATGGGAATACTCATGTGGGTTCTTGAAAAGTACCAGGTTGTTGGTCACTCAGAGCCCTGGAACAACCCCCGGTGGACCAAGACCATTCTGACCACCGCGTCTCTGTACTTTTTCACCGGATGTATAATGTCCTCGATCATGTCATACTACGATCCTCCGACTTATGAGAAGGTCTCGGATCTTCCGATAGACGAAGACAACCGAATCAAAGTGCCATTTGGATTCACCTCCTTTTCCTGGGATACGGACGAAGCCTCCAAAAGAGCAATGAAGCGATCAGTCGAGCAGAATGAGAACCTGGTCTTTTACAGAGGTTTGATTCACCGATGTGCCTTTGGCAATGTACCTTAGTTCCCGGTGTTTTAACTAACAGAGACCGCAGAATGCAATGACGCAGGTCATCTTGCTGCTCTAGAGCAGCCAGACAGATTGGTGCGGGACATACGAGACTTGGCTAAAGAGGCGTGGGGGAAGCAGCCGAAAGCTGAAATTCCTAGTACCTCCGGAGGGTTGAAACTCTCGTTCAACCCAATTGACTCACGAGTTCGGAATGAGTATCGTACTTGAAGAGGATAGACTCGACATCTCCACATGGAATTCTACTCAATCGATGAAGGCCCTGTGATCTACGAGACCCCGTGCATCGAAACAAGTCCCTAGTCTCTGTGAGATAGTCATGAAGAAGCTCAGAATATCAGACTTCTGGCCTTAAAATCAAGATGAGTTTGTCTGGTGTAGCATGTACTGGTTATGAAATTTTACAGCCTGGCAATCGTTGAGATGACTGCTAACTATCGCAAATTTACTTCACAATAAGCCTACATGGTAAAGTACTGTAGTATTAAAGCGCCATTCAACCGCCAGTGCCGAGCCAACATCATGCTCCCTCATAGCTTGGCCGAATCATACAATTCCCGAAGGTCTCGCGACAGTAAGAAGCGGGGTGAAGATGCAGTATTCGCTGTAAAGCTGTTTTGTGTGTTGGCTCGTTTCAAGATAAGGTAGCACCCAACCTTGTCTACCGCCAAGTGAAAGCTTGTCAAGACGTAGAGAGCTTCAAACAGCTCCAAATCAAGGTAGGTTAAGAAAAGAAGGTTTGAGCAAGTGTCTATATTTGGCAGAGTTGTGCGCATCAATTCGGGGATGGTCCCGTCGTTGACGTAGGAACCTGTGTCTGTGTCAGTTTGGCCGGTTTGTCTCGATAGATCGGACGGTGCTTCTTATAACAAATGCCAACCCGGTACTTTGAGGCTCAAGGACGCAGGGGAGGGAGTATCTGTCACCCCTTCACGGTGAAAGACAATGGACGCCAAGGATTCACAGCCCAGCCCGCGCGACGACATCAGCCTTGAGTCGCTGCATCCGATCGAGCCCAACGCGGATGTGAACATTGACGACAAGAAGGACATACCGATCACTGCATTGGCATCTCCGCCACCTACCATCGCCAATGTCAACATACTAGACGAGGAAAATGCGCAGCCGGGTCCTGACTTGAGCCAGGTGGGAGATGAAAAGTTGAAGAAACGGGCACGCTGGGCCCTCTTCGTCATGTCCTTCTTCATGGGAGATGTTGCGGACGGGCTCGGTCCATTTCTTGGCGTTTACCTACAACAACGTGGATGGGAACCCGGGCTGCGTGGCATGGTGAGCACAGCGGGCGGTGTTGCTACCATTATCGCAACGGGCCCGATCGGCGCACTCATAGATGCAACGAAGTGAGTGTCTTTAGCTTTCACGCATCCATCACATCACATTGATATCATCACGAGGTAGCTGATACTCGAAATCGCCAGGTACAAGCGTTTTCTCGTCGCTGGCTGCGCCCTCCTCGTAGGCGTTTCCCAAGGACTCAATCTTATCTCCACACATCCGGCCCTCGTCTTCTCCACGCAGATTGTGTCTGCCGTCGCAGGCACGAGCATGATGCCTCTTCTCGTGGCGCTCACACTTGGCATCTGCTCCCCTGACGAAGAAGGCAGCAATATGCAGAACAAGAAGAGCAAACACAGCTTTCGCGTACTAAACGGACGAAATCAAGCAGCTAACCACGCGGGTAACATGGTCAGCGCGGGTCTGGCTGGCCTTTTGGGGTCGAAATTTGGCTTAAACGCGGTCTTCTACCTCGTCATGGCATTCTGCGCAACAACGATAGCAAGTGTCTTCCTCCTACCAGAGAGAGCAGTCGATCATGCAGCAGCAAGAGGAGGACTCGCTCCTGATCACAGCGCGGGTAATGCTCGTCAAACACAAGAGAGAGAGGAGGTAGACACCCATGATTTCGCAGAAAGGGGCGACATGCCACCTCCTCGGACTCCGATTGCCAGTCCCAAGGCCAGCTTCCGTCGATTAAGTCTGAAGCCCAAGTTTACCTACAGCTGGATCAAGATCTTTCAAAACAACTGGCCTCTCGGTATCGTCGCCATCACAATTTTCATGTTCCACCTCGGTAATGCCGCAATTCTCTTCCTCTACGGCCAGGCCTTGGTGGCCGCGGGTGAGGGAGACCCCGCAGGCACTACTGGCCTAACCGTAATCATTGCACAGGGCACAATGGTCATCGTCTCAATCATGTCTGCATGGGCATCCGGTCGTTACGGCTATTGGTCAGCCGTCCTGCTTTCGTACTGTGTCTTGCCTATTCGCGCCGCTGTTGCAGGCCGTGTTATGAAGGGCTGGGGCGTTTGGCCAGTCCAGATCCTCGACGGTATTGGCGCAGGTATTCAGAGCGTAGCAATTCCAGGATTGCTAGCCGTAATGATGGCTGGCACTGGGCACGTCAATGTTACGATGAGCATTGTCGGTGGCATCACTCGACAAACTGGTGCCGCTATATCGCACTCTTTGGCTGGATGGGTGGCGCAGGTCAGGGGTTACAGCTTTGCACTTTATCTAATGGGCGTCTTCCCGCTTGTTTCTGTGTTTTTGTGGGCTGTCTTTTACAAGATACTACGACCAGTCATGGATAAGAAACCTGGGGAGAATACTATGTAGGGCCGGTCTTGTGTCGCCAGACACGAGCAGCCAAATTTAAACAGCTATATTTCCATGCTCTTAGGACAGGCAGACGTGCTCAGTTCTCTTTCGCGATTAATCATATCGCAAGACCGCATCCGAGGACTGATATCAGTAGAATTTGGCCTTCATCATCTGCGAGGAACACAAGCTGTTCATTAAGTTAACGTGGTTCTGGGTACCACTACACTACATCCTGTCGGTCTATCCTCCTACTACTGTAGCACTGAATCATCTGCCAATCCTTAGGCTTCTTCTTTTTTCTTGATTCCAAAGACAGGCTCAGAAAAGCCCACTTCGCACTCGGAAGGCAGCTCAACCCCATAAGTGTCAGACTCAAGTTCACCAGTCGTCTCATTTACAACGATCCATCTCCTATTCTGCAAATCGCCGTCTTGCGCCCTATCGTTGAAGTTCTGCGGCGCAAATACAATGCTACTCACAGCCTCGCTATAAAGCGTAACGGGGATATCCTCTGACCTGGTGAAGTGATGCATGCCCAAATTGAACCAGAGAACGATATCCTCGTTCTCGACACTCTCGCCATTAAAGAACTTCATGAAGTCTTGCTGGGGCTTCAGAGGTAAATTGACGTTGGAGTGACTGTTCGCGTACGGCTCGGTGTCATGCTGTCTCGAAAGCGCAAGATGTGACTTGGCGAACGGCGTCTGGTGCTTCGTCCAAGGAGAATCAAGCGGCGTGAGATGAATATTGGACTTTCCTGGAACGATGCGGTAGCCGCGTTTCTCGCCCCACGCATTTGTGGCGTTGGGGTTCACGATGCAGTACATGGCAGCGTTGTTTGGTTGCCAGTTGAACTGTTGTTCGTCCGTCATTGTGGACTTTTGCAGCTGCATCTGCTCAAAAGAGCCAAGCTCCGGATACCAAGGCTGGCTCGTATTGACTAAGACGAGCTCGCTTACCTCGAGACTGTTCTTGGTGTCGAGAATGTCAAAGTCGGCCTTGTAGGTCAGAATATGATCGTGCAGTGAACCCATCGTCGCCTCCTGGATTCTGGGCCCAAACTCCTCCTGGTCTGGATAGTAGAATGAAGATTGCAGGAAGCCCGATGCTCGAACTGTGACCTCAAGACTACCGTCAACGTGGAAAGAGTAGTCGAACATGTAGTCGTAGTTCCCCACAGTCGCTACAGATCGCATGGTCAAAGCTGAAGCCTTCACTGTGCCCAGATAACTGAAGCCGTACTCGTTTCCACTGCCGTATCGGTGGCGTGAGACAGGATAGCCAGCATCGGCTTCGAAAATGCATATTGCATCGGTGCTGACGACAGATGAGTTGCCCTCGTGGTGCGTGACGTTCCAGAAAGTACTGCCAAAGGGGCAATCATACCCCTCGACCAGCGTGCCCAGGTAGGTACCAAGGCTGTAGTACGTATCGTGATACACCGTTCCAGCTGCCTTGGGTGTGAAACCAGCATATTGGGCAGCAGCTTCCTGCAGCGAAAGCTCGTAGATGACCCTTTCGCCCTTGAACTTGATGTCATAGTACATCAGTCCTAGGGTTCGAGAGTACGAGGTGTAAAAGGACCACCCCATGTACTCGATGTACTTCTGTTCCTCATCGACCTTGTAGCGCTTGCCGCCAATCTCGAGGCTTTGAGGTGCCAGCTTGTTCTCGAGGTCTCGAACTCCCATTTCAGGCTTATAATCCAAGAGACCCCAGTCGGGTGTCCGGCTCTGCTCGAATTGCTCCTTCAACTCTCCTGCCTCCCACGCGGACTGTAAGGCAGCGACTGTAGGAAAGAATTTCTCATTCGTCACGATGCCTCTCAGCTTGTACTGCGAAGCGTCTGTGCCGGTAACGTCTAGCATAACGGAGAAGTCTAGTGGCGTAAGATATGTCGCTGTGTTGGGGTATCTAAACATGACTGTGCGAAATGCTTGGGTACCATCATAAGACAGGGGCGTGCCACTCGTGGAAGTGAGGGTAGTCCGATTATCACTCGTGCCGTAGTAAACTCCGCCAATGAGTTCAGACGTGATGTCAGTGATGTTGCTCATGATTGACACGAGTAGAGGCTCTGTGGCTACCAGGCGAGGGCCATCAAAATAGCGGCTGTTGTACGGGATTTTGCCACCACTGCCGCCATTGAAAATGTAGTCGAGCTTCTCCACCTTGGTTCCGTTGCCGACGGGAAGAGGTCCGACCATGTACTCCTGCGAGTCTGGGACCTCCAGGCCTCCGCTGAAGATGACTACTCGCGCATATTTTGGCGGCGGGCTAGCGGCACCACCGAGATACGGTAGGACAGTGGACTTGTTGGTGTGGAGAGTATCAATCCAGTAGATATAGTTGTCTGTGACCGTAGCATTGTTGGGGTCTGTGAGGTTCAGACCTGTTGCCGGATCGTGGAGTAGATTCCAGACAGCGAGATTATCATCAGGGGAGATAGGTGCCCAGACGTTAACTTTCGGTGCTTTAACCTTGGGTGCGGCCTCGTTGATGTTACAGGTTGTGATATTCGCCGCTCGCCTGAATAGCCCATGTTGTTTCGTCTTGGAAGATGCCTCGACTGCCACACCAAGGGGCAAAAGGCCTAAGAAAGTCTGTCCCAAAAGCATTTTCGCTTGGGTATGATAGCTGTAAGACACTTCTGTCTGGGCTCCTAAAAGACTGTCAGGTAATCAGATGAACTCGGCCGACCTCTCATCTTTATTGCCCAGGAAGATCCGATGTCGCTGAGCGTAGACACTTGGTGAGGTCTTCATGAGCCGAGATAACAGGTCAAGCAGCCACTGCTTAGGTCGAAATATCGCCAAGACTCGGACGTCGCGGCAGGATATCCAAGTCCAAGTGGTCGGTAAGACGCCGGTGGCCTTGGCCGAACGACGAGGAAACCTTTTATCCCACCGGGCCGGTGTAGAATCGTGATCAAGTGGTATCGATCAACAAGAGTTCTTGGCCAGATAAAGAGAGCGAGATAGGCAGGTTCACCCATCTGACATGCATGCCAAGACTTATGACGGAGCTTTTGTATTCTTGCCTTGCATTATCAAGCTTCCATGGTCGATGTCGACATGCAAAGTTGTATTCTGCCCTTCCATTCTTATCAGGACGTCTGTTGCAACTCGGATCCTCGTCCAGGCCAATTGCAGCTCATTAAGTTCACAATTTACGATACGTAATGCTTTCTCGACCGAACCTTCTTCTGGATTAAGCGATGCCGTGACGTGGCGGCCTGCTTCCGGTACGATGCGAGCTACTTGGTCTGTTCTCTGAAACTTCCGCTCAGTTCGTTGATCAGCGATGCGGGGTTGCTGATTGAGCTACCCCGCTAGATTGCGGTGACAGCTGAAAGTAATTCGCGGCTCGCGTCTTGACTTGACCGGCTATTTTGAGGCGTGAACAAGATTGATAGTTGCATGGTCTTTTTTCAGCTCTCTGCGGGAACACTGGCGGTGGTTTTGCTCGGACAAGCTAGTCAGATATCAACACTTGGGCTGGGAAAGTGAACAAAGTGGTATCATTACTGAGTCCTGTTTGAACTTAGTCAGCACCTCCATCAACCGTAGCTAGAGCTGAATCACAGCTTGACATCGCAGATGAACACTGCTAGGCCAGACTGTTTGCGCCTTCTCTGTCATGATAAACGATTCATTCAGAGTCGGCTGGCGGGGGCCGACCATGTGTGATGCGCATAGATAAGAGACGGAAGAGCTGTTGATTGTGTGTCGTTCTATCAAGATAATCTCTGCTCCACCCCCGTCTCCGGGCCCTCCGGAGAGCTCCCGATTACCCCGCGCTGGCCTTCAGAAACCCGGGGTTGGCCACCGGCCCGATTTGTTACTTCTTGAATCCCTTAGGACTAGTCCCATCAAGTACGAGGACTAGGATTGATTGACAGTATAAGCTGGCCAAACTCTCGCTCAAATCGAACCTTTCATAGTCACATTTCACTCCCTCCACGAATAATTTGCATATTTCTACCTCTGAGGCCTTGCCGGTAACGTGACTCTTGACTAGTGCTCTGGTCTCACCAATAAGCTTTTTATGACCTTTTCCGTCGAATTAGTCGAACAGTCCGCAATGAAGCATACGTTAATGTCTGCACAAATATTCAACGAGCACGTCAAGGAACTTCGCAGCGTACTCTACGACGGCTCCGAAGCCACCAGGCAAGCACAAACCTTTGTTTCGATGATCATTGAATTGGAATGCAACTAAGGCAAGTAGGCAAGCGATGTAGGAAACTATTGTGAAACGCAACCATGGATATCATTCTTATGATTGACTAACTAATAGGGTATTCTGAAAATGTATTATTTCATCGGATTCGTAACTCATCCTGCCACTTCCGGCTCTTTCTTATAATAAACTGTTCATCTTCGACGTAGCCATGTGAAAAAATCGCCCTTTATCCTATGCCTCACATGCTGATTGAAGCCATAGGTGATTGCATTCGCCAGGCCGATAAACTGACTTGAGCTCTGCAGCGCTGCCAAAACACGACTCTGAGAGCCGTTTCCCGATGCCTCCATCAATCTGTTGACGAGACCCGGAATCCAGAGCACCACATACATGACCGGGTAAGCATTGAGAAGCATCATGCGCTTGATCTCACGCTCGACTTTCCTCGTCTGCGTCCGAATCGGGAAGTCGCTCATCATTGTCGCGGTCACGTTCTGCGGCGCGCTCTTTCTGCTGTCGACGTGGTTGAGGGTCGGGTTCGTCGGGAAGTCTCGGGACTGCATTTCCCGGGTCCCCGGCATCTTGAATGACAATGCTGATAATGTAGAGCTTCTGCTCCTGTGAGTCTTCTTCCAAATGGACACCGACGGCCTCCTCGGCGGTCCGCTGTCCATGCGGTATTGAGCGAATTGTGCTTGGGTAGCAATTGCTGCTGGTGGGAGCATGTCCTTTTGAAGGTGTGACGGGCCCCCGGAAGCGCTCTTGTGCAGCTTATCCTCTTGTTCGAGGTATGAGAACCGCGCCTCGGAGGCTTGGCTCATGTCCATGTCATGGTCGTCGAATCGTGATATTCTTGCCGACATCTTCCGGCCCGGCTCTTGCTCGCCTGTCGGCTCTTCGTCGATCTTGTCTTCGGCGAAGTGTGCCATTCTGACTGCCGATGGCCGCCTGCCGCCTACTTGTACTTGAACTTCCTTATCTTCATCGACTTCAGTGGCCGATGGTCTTCTGGCCAAGGCAGCTGGCGCGCTCCGCGGGGCGACAGGCGACGTTTGTTGAGCTTGCTGGGTCGGCGAGAACTGTGGCAGCTCACCCCAAGTTGGGTTCGCTCGCTCAAACTGGTCCATCTCCAGCTCGGGGGTATGGATTGACTCGAATCCCTGCTTCTTCCGTATCGATGATGTGACGACGTTGCCGTTCGAGTTTTCGCTATTGTACAACGGATCAGATGTGCTGACCATTGTGCGAAAGTGTCGTCCGAGGTACCACCAGACGTAGAGGTAAATGAGGATTGTGGTGAAGATGATGCCGAAACGCCAGCCGTGCGTTAGTGCGTATCGAAGATCAGGCCGTTCTCGGGTTATCCAGCACCAATTGCCGCTCACGGGTTTCATTGTGCCCATGAGAGTCGCTGTCGTGCTGGTAATGAGCGGTATGACCCAGACAGAGAGGCAGATCATGACCTTTCGGAAAGTCGACGCATTCGGCATGTAGGTTTTCCGTGTTATAGTGAGAAAGGTGACGACCGCGATGGCGAGGATAGAGAAGTCGGACGCCTGCACCGAGAGCTGGCCGACCATGCCGTTGAGGACACATGCTGCGCCCGGTTGTAGTTCTTTATTCTTGATGTAGATGATGCCCGAAATCGTGTTGCCAAGTGAGTTTATGAACTCTTTTCGTCCAAGAATTGCAGTCAGTGTGCGCATTCTTCATGTCACAAATTGGACTTGGCCGAGGGGCAGAACTTACCGGCTAACGTCAGGTTGAGGACGAGGGCATGGCGGAAAGATCGCTGATGTTCATGGTAGAGAGCGAACGAAATTAATACACCTGTTGTCGCGAGGAACGAAAGTATGCTGCCCGTCAGGGTGACAGATGCGACTGCCGCATCGAAGGCCATCGTGAACCCGCACGCCAATGGATGTTGGTTGGCATCCACGCGAGCGAGCCTCGCGGGCGACGGGTGGAAATGGGTATCATCTTGTACCAAAAGACAATGCGCTGCTCAACCAGAACCGTGGACTGGGCAGGATTGGCTGTTCGTTACATTGATGGAGTCACGGGGCTAAGGTGCGAGTCATGAAGTCGTTAATGGACGTGGGGCCCTCCGGATGCCCCTGTGCATTCTATTTATTGTGTGATAGACGTCCGTGATGCCATCTGAACTTGGTCAAGGCCCCCAGACGAGTGCCTAATAGGCAGGACGTAAGTCGTCGAACGACGTGCGGTTAAATGGCTTTGAGTTTGCGCGATTAACATCAGCTGGGTAAGGCAATGCTTAGCCTCCCAGACTTGAGGCTTCCCTTGAGGCTGATGATACGCCTCAGAGAGTTCCGAGATACCACCTAGGGTACCACGGACTGGACAGCCCACTCTGCCAGAGTTGCATGTGAACTAAGGCAGGGTCTCCTTAATCAACACTTGGCGTTTTGGAACGTAGTACCCAGCACTCTGACCCACTGCATAGTCCGAATGTCGTTAGCAATTGCGCAGTCCCACGTGGGGTTTTGTGTCAGATTTCCAAAAGCGTTCCCCGACTTAGCCGTGACAATATGAATGCAGCCATCTTCGAGCGGCAGCCCGTCATCTCAACTCTGTGGCGCGCGTCTGTCGCCAACCTACCAGCCTTTTGGAGTGCGTAATGGACGGGATACCCTTCCCTCCTCTCAAGCGAGCGCGTTACGGACTCCTCAGCTCTTGCAAAACTCAATACACACAGCGATCAGTACCGACCATGCGTATCAGCGTCTGAGGCAGCCGATCACGCAATTCCATTGGTGCCGCATAAGTCTGGGCAGAACTTTTTATGAAATACTTGCACTGATTAGCCTGCAAGCTCTATATGAAAACGCTAGAAGCCTGTCACCAGGCCCTTTGAGAATGGAAGGCTTGTCTCGGCACCCATTCATCCCGCTAAAAGCCTTGCTTAATGTGGGTAAAGCAATATCAAGGTTTAGACGGAGTGGAGACCTTCGAACCATCGCGGCATCGCAACGTCTTTTACCCCTGGGTATGGATCGGGGTCCCTAGTTCGCTTGCAAGCCTTTGGTTGATTGATGACAGGATAACCTTTGCAAGACAAAGCCCCAAGTTTCCGAAAACGACCAAGGACGAACACGCACGGGGTTCTCTCGACGACAAATTTGGACTTTTAAGACATTCTTCGCTGAAAATATCTGCCCTTTCTGCTCTGCCGTCCGACTGAGAGCAAAGTTTAGGCGTTTCATGGCTCTATCTCCGGGCACTTTCGCACAAAACTCAAATCAACCGCTTGCACTCTTCATCATCGCATACTTTCTGCTAAGAGAAAATCCAACTGCCCACGTATCCGTCAAGAACCTCCACAGTCCACAAGCCGGCTGTTGTTCCCCTGTCGGCGTGGTCCTTGACCCCGGTCGTGCGTTCTTCCGATTTCGCGCGTCTCTCCCTCCCTCCCGTAATTCTCCTCCTCCCCCCTCCCGCAATTGGCAACTGGGAGAATGAAACATAGGCGAGAGGAAAGAGATTTTTGCCACAGTCGCGCGCAAAATTGAATGCCCGCGGATATGCCCGCAAATAAAGGAGGTTCTATTTTCGAACACAAGCCGCCCTGCCAGCCCTGCCTGGCACTGCTGAATGGTCAACCGCGCGGGAGTCGGGGCAAAGCCCAAGTCCGGTTTAGCCGTGCGTGCAGTGCTTCTGCCAACTTACCTGCCAAGCGCGGTAGACAATTGATTGCATTTAATTACGCTAGTGTCTTTAAGGTGTGATTGCCATCCAGGACGGGCGAGGGAAAGGCTGCCAAGATCACTTTCGACTGAAGTTGTGCCGAGGCCGACATGCGGCCGATTAGTAGGTATCGTGAGCAGATAGTCTGCTTGATCAACATCGGTGGCCCATACTTTGCACCCAAGCCGAAAAATCAAGACAAAGTCATTCTCCTCTCTTCTCGTGATTCTGGACCTTCAATATTGATTAGAGTTGTTCAAGAAATTAATTCCCGATTTGCTTGGGACTCTGGGAGGGGATGGACTCCGCTGTGAGGAGGGGCACAATCGGAAGGGAAGAGGAGGAGCGAAAAGCACAGAGCGCGCGGCGACACACGCGATGGGCTGCGGCCGGGAACTTCAGACGTGAGCATGAGTCGTGAAAATGTCGTGCCTGATATGCTCAGCCTTGGTGTCCCGAAACAATGGATTCACCCTGATATTACTTCACGTGGTGATAATCGACATTACTCCCGCATCTCTGGGCCTTTGCAAGTAGCCGGCCTGTCGCGTGTCACAGGCCCCCTGGGGATCTCCCAAGACTTCCGCGTTGGGTTGGAAGAGCTGGGGGGTTGTCTACCAAGAGTTGGAGAAGACCAAGAAGGCCCGCCATCATGATTCAAGGCCGTAGTTTGCATCGCCAGAGGGCGGGCTTGCGAAGTTTCCCCCAAGGCTCACGCGTTAAGGATGTGACTCAGGCCACCAGAATTGAGGACTCTCGCGATCCCTTCAGAAATGCGAACATTAGAGGATGATTGGACGGAAGATGGTAACAAAGAAGGAGTTTTAGCTTAATTAAGTTGAACTCTAAAATCTCCCGAGGCAAAGGGTTAAACAATTGTGCGGGATTTTCAGTTCAACTCTGTCCTGACTGCCTACTGTACTCTTATCTTGGTAGTCACTTGTTGACTTCTATTGGAGTTGCTTACGTCTGAGCAGTTATTGGCTGGCCTTGGAGGTTGGCATGTTTCAGTGTTCGCTAGGAACCAATGCTCCCAAAGGCATTGGCCCAAAAGAAGACCTGACAGGAAGGGATGCCATTGTACATTACCTTTCGTCAATTGACCTCCATTATCCAACCTACGATATTATCTAAAGAAGCTGTATATTCGCTTATTTGATATTACCCAACGCTCCGGAAATCTGTCAACCAAAGTTGTATGAAGGACCATGGGCCCGTCCATCATGCTGAGTCCAGCTTCAGAACCCACTTGCCCTTCAGCTACAATAAAGTCAGCAAGCGGTCACAAAAACAAGATGTAAGAATCACTTACCTGACCGCCGTGCATAGTCTGCACTAATTCCTCCAAGTCGTCGATCTTGCCCACATGGACGTTGGGAACGACCACACGTCGTCTGACAAACTCCAATGCCTCAAGAATATCGGCACGCGATCCAACAGAGGAGCTCAAGATCTTCCAACCCTTTCCAATAAGCCAGATGGGATTAAAGTTTACTTTCGCCTCCCAAGGCAGAATGCCAACACACATCAGCGTTCCAAACGGCGCCAACAACTCAAAGGCATCCTGATAAGCAGGAGTAGCCGTAGCCGCGACCACTACTGCCTTTGCGCCATAGCCTCCGGTCGCCTTTCTGACTTTCTCAGCCAGAGTTCCAGGCTCAGTAACATCGATGTAGACCTCGGCTCCCTGGTCTTTACAGATCTCACCCTTCTCCGGGCCGGCATCGACGCCAATGACGCGGTAGCCCATGGCACGGGCATACGCGACGCCCAAGGCGCCTACGCCTCCTCCGGCTCCTGAGATGGCAAACCATGAGCCTGGCGTAACATGGCAATTTTTAATTGCCTTATAAGCCGTTACGCCCGCACAAAGGATGGGCGCAACCTCCTCGTCAGGCACGTCGTCAAACTGAGCAGGGAGCCTCGCCAAGTACCGCAGGGGCGCAAGCGTATACTGAGCAAACGTGCCATCGTACGCTCTACCAGAATGGAGAGTCTTTTCACAACGCGTCTCACCCTCATTGACAAGGTCGACGCAGGCCTCGCAATTGCCGCACGTGTCGCGGGTCCAAGCGACACCCACACGCTGTCCAACTTGGACCGAAGGGTCGAGGGCCGCAATGTTAGAACCTAGGGCAGCGATGCGACCGACTCCCTCGTGGCCGAGGATCTTCCTGTCGAGGGGTCCGAAATGGCCCATGGCCATACCGAGATCGGAACCACAGAGACCCGTTACTGATAGGCGGATAAGGACTTCATTCGGTCCTGGAACTGGGCGCGGTTCATCCCGCACCGCAAACGTAGGCTTCCCATCCGAGCCTTGAGGCGACTACGAATCGTAAGTTTCTGCAGAGTTCGATCCTGCGAGGAAGACAAGACGGGTGGAACAGTCTGAATGGTGCATGTAAGGTAGCTTACAGTCAAGATAGCAGCTCGGTGTGTCTCCATAATTGTGCTTCGTCGAATGAGATAAGAATAAGATAAGTATACACAAAGCTGTACTTTAAAGACTGGCGTGTTAAGTTGAAGTTGAGACCAACCGAACTAGTACCGCTCGAGGAAGATCTATGATGTAGGTCGAGATTTCCCCGCTACCTCCAAGATGTTGTTGTTGTTGTTGTTGTATTTAACGCCGTGGCGGCCGGGCTAGAGCCCTTACCGCAGACCTCCCGAAGGGTATATGGCGTGGAGGGCCGTGAGCCAAGGCTACCTACTCTACAGTACGTCGTCTCTTTACATCGTCCTCCAAATCATGCCTTGTGGCCACTACGCGTTCTGTCTGTCCCCGGTTCCCGCTGGTGCCCCAGTTTCATTCTTTCCCAAATCGTCCCTTGGAATCGGGAGGTTCTTTGTAGTCCGCACTCACATCTACCTAGGTGTGGATGCTGCTACCGCAGACAGATCTTCTGGAAGAAGTCCGTCACGCGGAGAAAGGCCTCGAAGCCTCGTGGGTCGGTGATTAATCTCTTGAAGTAGGCCTCGAGAGATCCCATAGGACCTATGGGCTCGGGCATACTGCGAGAGTGGAGGGTCGGCCACCGTTGCCTCCTCGCCAGCGTTAGTCGACAGTAGACCAGGTGGTCCACGTCTTTCGCCTCTCCACAAGAGCACATCATTAGAGCGTCGTCGTGGTTGAAACGTCGGTGATATTGCTCGAAGTCCCCGTGACCCGATCGTGCCGCCAGCAGGTGATGTAACGTAGCCCGCGGCAAGGCCAGTTCAGGAGGGCTGGACAGAGCTGCCTCAAGCCCCAAGTCCGCGTACCGCGGCCTTCGCTCTTTATACCACCATCTCCTGTGCTGGCTTTGTAATTTTTCCCTTGCAAGCCGCTTGATGCCCGCTAGTGTTGCCATTTGACCCATCCGCGCCGGCAGTGTCGTTCCTTCTTTGGCCAGCCGGTCCGCGGCCTCGTTTCCTTCGATGCCCTGGTGTCCCGGGGACCAGTGCGTCCGTATATCAAATATCCTGGCCGCTTCTTGGATTTCGAGGAACGCGTCTTGTGACGAGTCCGGCGCCTTGCCGCGGATGCCTTGTATAACGCTGGTGTTGTCGATACATATGTGGATTGGATGACCGCGATTGGTGAGCAGAGCCCTTCTGAGGCCGGTTCGCGCCCCTTCGACCTCGGCGTCGAACACTTCTGCTAGTCCGAGTCGGCCGCACCCTTGCGCTATGCGTTTGGAGTCTCGGTAGATGACGAAGCCGTACCCCACGGCTCCGTTCGTCGCCCTGGAGCCGTCCGAGAAGACGATCATATGGCTTTCCGGTACTGTCTTTAGCCAGCGCTCGAAAGCTTTCGCAGCCTCTTCTTTGCATTGAACTACTATCTGATCCTGTGAGCTTGGCAGGTACTGTGATTGGAGGAACGTTGGTCTTCCGCATCTTGGCAGAAGTTCAGCCGTCCGTTGTAGTCTCGTCTGTTGCTGTCCCTGCTGGGAGAGCCGCGCGACTAGCGGGTGTCGGCGATCAATCCTCTGTAGTCGGACTGCGGCCCGTAAACGGACGCCTTCTAAGGCGACTTTGGCTGACGGTAAGCCGGCGTCTCGGAGGAGGCTACTGGTTGGCGTTGTCCTCCAGACAGGTAGAACGATCCTTGCTGCCGCTGTAATGACGCTGTCGATCTTCTGCACGAGCCCCTTCTGGCCTGTGTTGACGGGTCTTCCTTGGAAAGGCGGACTCGTGTCTGTCTCCGCTTGGCGTCTCGAAGCCGGCTTCGTGATACCTGCGTACCATGTTTCGGCGCCGAAGAGCGCGATCGGCAGTACGTAGGAGACGACGGCTTTTCGCACGGCGGCCGCTGGCAGTCCTCTCTTTGT